ACTTACAGTTGTGTTGCATGTGTTTTCTAAATATTTCAATTTTCCTCCATTACTATTTATAGGATCCTGGCCTGTTTGAGGGAGACGAATATGCTGCCCTCGTGACCGAGTGTAAAGAAGGGGGCCAGAAAGAGGGCCTGATGCTGGACACGCATGAAGAGCTGTACAACTGATTCACGAGTCAGGTCATCAGCCTGAACCCTGAGGACCTGAAGGACAGAGCTGCCACCTCTCCTGCCCTCTTCAACAGGTACAGTGACATTTACCCTCACAGCAGCAGAGTAACGCTAAAAACTATTGAGCTTCAGTGCTAAACAAAAACACATGTGCTCTGTTCCAGGTGTGTGCTGAACTGGTTTGGAGACTGGTCCACAGAAGCTCTTTACCAGGTCGGTAAGGAGTTCACCAGCAAGATGGATCTGGAGAAAGGTAAGGCATGTTTTTGGTGATATTTTGAAATATTCAGATAAAGAATTTATTTGAGTTTTTAGCACAAATTATTCACTTTGCAGCACCTTTTGGTGCATTAACTTGCATTTTGAGGCATTTCTGGGATGTTTTATTTTTGCGATAGTAAAGCTATAGTAAGGCATGTTTTTGGTGATATTTTGACATGTTAAGATATAAAGGTTTAGCACCAATTTCTTCACCTAGCAGCATGTTTTGGGACATAAACTTGCATGTTGAGGCATTTCTGAGACTTGTTGTTTATTGTTGTAGTTTTTTGCAATAGTAACACTATTGTGTTAATAATTTGTGCTAAGAATAATAATAACCATAATAGCTTTATTTGTATAGCACATTTCATACAATCATGCAGCTTAAAGTGCTTTGACAGTTTGACAAAAGCAAAAACACAGGGTTGCCATATTTTTTAGACATGCAAAGTGACCAAGTCAATGTCCCAAGTTTTGCTTGATTGGATCTAGGAAGAAAAAAGCTCAGGGATGACAGAGCAAAAACTTCTTTTTTTTCTAGGAAGAAACCTCAGGCAGTTCCACCGGCCCCGGGTCCAGGAGGTGATGGAAGAGTGGTAGTTGTCTGCCGACCGCCTGCAGGTGCCAACCGATGGATTCAAGCAGTGGGCTGCTTTGAGTAGGTGAGGGTGAAGAGGTGGATTTTCAGTTGTTGTTTAAAGGTGTGGTTGGATGGGGCCTCCCTGATGTGCTGCGGTAGGGCGTTCCAACTTTTGGGTGCGTAGTGTGTGAAGGCTGCTTCTTGGGATAGGGCCGATCCCATCCAGTATCAGTATCGGCAGCCGAGCCCAATGTAGTTAGCGAATCTGACCGATCCGATCTAACCTGCAAAAAATTCCAATCTGACGTCATTTGAAGACTCCTGTTGGCTGAGGAGAGCAACACTGACAGCGAAATAAAAACAATGAAACGCACGCTCCTCCTGAACGCGCGATACAGACAGACGAGGCCCCTTTTTTTAATTAATGCTCCAATTATTAATGTAATGTCTAACTTGTAAGAAATGATATCATGCTGAACTACATGTTGATTGACTGTCAATGTAGCCAGCAAAGAATTGAATAAAAGCAGATGCACTATGTGTACATCTGCTTGTAAGCTGTTTACGTTGCACTAAATAAAATTTTCAATTTCAAACCCATAGAGTTGCATATTTGTTTTAAGGATGAGATTTTCCCATTAACATGGTTTCCTGTATTTTTGTCTTCTTTTCTGGCCTTATACTAACCTTAAGGTGCCTTTAGGTAAATACATGAATTTAATAATAATAATAATATTAGAGCAACTTAACTTATCCTTAGCTGCTTCCCCGATCTTCTTGGGTGGAGGATCTGGCATTCTCAGCAAATGGGCTGCAGCAAATCTGAGGGTTCGAACAGGGGTATAAAGCGACAGTGTATCAGAGATGTAGCATGGAGCAAGACCATTTATAGCTTTAAAAACTTACCGAGTGGTGGCTTTGTGCTTAAGGAAGTGGCCTATGGTCCGGAAGGTTTCAGGTTTGAGTCCACCAGCTGCCAAGCTTTTGGTTTAGCCCCAAGTTGGAGCCAGGATTCCTCGGAACTGAGCGGAGAAGAGGGGCTGGTAGCAGGGGCCCAGCCTGCGGTGGTTTGAGCTGGGCCGAAGACAACGATGTCCATTAACCGCTCCTCTTCCTGGATCTGATATAGTGTAGAAATCCATCCTTCCAACTCCCCAATCTTGTCACTGAGCCGGGTACAGCTGACACAAAAGAAACATAAGTTAAGTAGAGCCATGGTGTGTTTACTATGCGATAGTGCTAGCCTATGTTAAGCTAACTTTATGCTAGCTGTTAGCTATTGATGTTGCCAAAGAGTGGCAAACAGGCAGAAATGTGCAGATAAATTATTAACAATGCACATTGTTAGAAAATAACGATATTATATAACATCCAATTTATCAGTTTTGATCAAGGATCAATATTTAAGTATGCCAATATTCTCACCTGATGGAGTGTCTGATGTACACACACACAGCCTTTGACATCAGCATCAGGATTAGACGGTGGCTGGGCCAGTTTGTCGTAGACAATGGGCATGTAGTCTGGCACCTTGTACTTGGGTCTCTCTAGACCTGGGTCTCTTACTGACCTGGTAAAGAGCTTCTGTCTCCAAACCAGTTCAGCACACACCTGGAGCAGAGCACGTGTTTTTGTTTAGCACTGAAGCTCAATAGTTTTTAGCGTTACTCTGCTGCTGTGAGGGTAAATGTCACTGTACCTGCTGAAGAGGGCAGGAGAGGTGGCAGCTCTGTCCTTCAGGTCCTCAGTGTTCAGGTTGAGAACCACATTGAGGTTTCTGATGACCTGACTTGTGAATCAGTTGTACAGCTCTTCATGCATGTCCAGCATCAGGCCCTCTTTCTGGCCCCCTTCTTTACACTCGGTCACCAGGGCAGCATATTCGTCTCCCTCAAACAGGCCAGGATCCTATAAATAGTAATGGAGGAAAATTGAAATATTTAGAAAACACATGCAACACAACTGTAAGTGGCTTTGTATAAAAGTGTCTGCTAAATGTAATGAAATGTCAAAATATCTCCAAAAACTAGCAAGACTAAAGCCTTACCATCGTGAAAAAAATCCAATATTCCCAATATTGACTTAAAATGTAAGTTTACGCTTAATTCCAAAAAGTATTTTATACGAATA